AGGCAATTGTATCCTAGTCTGGATGGAACAGTATGCAGAAGACAAAATATTATTTCAGGACATAGAATAGCCCCTTCGCAATACTCAAAGTATGTGTCATGACGATTTACCAGTATGTGCATGTGCAACAGCTTGTACAAGATGGTCTCAGTATCATTAACATGCACCATCGAAGAGCAACAACGTGTAATTTGTTTTTGTGTGTGTAAGCAGAGGGTGTTAAATCATCTGATATCTACTGAAGAATGAAGGTTTAATATGGAGACAATTGTTTGTGTTTGAGGGAAGTGTATGAATAGGTGGAAAGATTTAAGAATGGAAGGGATAACATCAGTGATTAAAAAAAAAAAACTGGACACCTGTTAGCATGTAACAACAGGTAGAGCAGTGAATCTGCAACAATAAATGAGCCACTACTGATGAAATTGTAGAATTACACACGAGTCACAGTGCTGCATTCAGAATTGTTCATGACGACTGTCTGTATAGGAAAGTGGGTAGCGGGCAGCAGATGGGCTGCAAGACAGCTGCCAGATAAACAGAAGCATACTAGGGAAACTATTGGTCAGGAGCATTTGGACGGATATGCCTGTGAAGGAAATGCTTTTCTCCATCGAATTGTGGCAAGTGATGAGTCCTTGGTGCACCATTATTCACCACAAAGTAAGAGATAATCAATGCAGTGAAAGCGCCCTGCATCACCACCACAGAAAACATTCAAAACACAGGCTTCAGCTAGCAAGGTCATGCTAACCGTCTTTTGAGATGTCAATGACCATATACTGACGCAGTTCCAGGAATGTGATAAAACTGTGACTAGTGCTCTTACAGTGACATGTTAGGAAACAAGTCGAAGCCCACAATCCGATCAAAATGCCAAGTTTTCTCTCCAAAGGAGTTTTACTGCACATACAGTGGACACGGCGCCTTAAAGCCACTGAGAGTCCGAATCATAATTCCAACGGACTGCAATCGAAACCCACTGCTGGCTGCGTGGCTTTTTATCAAGGTATAGGGCCTTGCAGGTCGACCCAGCCTAAAATGGGTACCAGGATGTATGTCCTGGGAAAGTAAAGATGGCAGACATAATGCTGACCACATTACCCACCTAGTGCCCATTGGTCTGAAAAAAAAACGGGTGCTCTTAACATTTGTCCGATGCGCCTAAAGGCGTGAAAAGGGATCTTTACTTTTCACTTTACCTACAGTGGACACACTAAAAATTCTGCGGTTGGAAGTATTGTAACATCCAGCATCCAGCCCAGATTGATACCATTTGTTTGGCCCAGTGAAAGAACATCTGCGGGGGTCCGAGATTTACAGATGATAATGAGGTGATGTCGGCGGTGCAGACTTGGTCACTGGCCCACACCCAAAAGCCTCTACCTAGCAGGCATTTACAATCTTGTGGATTGGTGAACTACAAGTGTTGCAAGGCAGGGAGACTATGTCGAGAAATAAGGCACAGAGCAATTTTGTTTTGGTTGCTTGTAAAAAAACTCATTAATGCAACTGCCTTTACTTAATGGCTTTTCCTTGTACACACATACAGCAATCTTTGGTACTTGATTACTATATGCACATACAGCAATCATGGGTGCTGGATTACTATATGTACATACAGCAATCCTGAGTATTTGATTACAACATACAAAAACAGCAGTTTTGGGTATTTGATTACTTTACATACATATAATAATATATACAGTAATTCCGAGTACTAGATTACAACATATACATAAGTATCATATATATATGCTCAAGCCAAAATATACATAAATGTGACCTAGTATACAGATAAATGACATATTCCAGATCTACATATGACAATGAAATGAATCAATAAATAACTGCTCACCGGCTGTAAACCCCTGGGGGAAAGTTTTGGTTGTTTATCCACTTCCGGTTTTTAATTTTGTTCTAGAACATGAGTCTGCGTGTACATCTGTTTTACAGACCTGGTTCATTTATATGCAAACTGTTGGATCCTCATGTCTTAGGTGGATGCACTCTGACCCCTAATTTGTTGCCTTTTATGACATGTTTGTTGGGGGTGGGGGGCAGTGAGTCTAATCCCCCCTCCCCCCTCCCAAAGTGTGCTCTTGGATCCACATGGGAGCTACATATCCATGAATGCCAGCCAAACAGTACATCTGACAACTGCTTATCATGCTGTCTGAGTGGCCTCATGGCTGTCCTATGGGTTTATTTAAAAGAAAAAGTAATGTACAGTTAAAATGTAACATAACAGTTGAAATTTAAAAAAAAATATAGCCAGACAGTGTATCACTGAACAAAATCAATGGAAGGAAATATAAATAAAATGTTTCTGAGCAGATCTATAGACATATTTGAAGAACCTGATCCAATTACAATGTCATGCCAGTTCACAAGAAGTGTCATTAAAAACAAATTCACAAAAATGTCAAAAATCAGTTACAACATTCCCAAAGTAAGTTTCAGGATTCAATCTGAAAACAAAGAATAGACCAACAACACCCCCACCCCAAATAAAACAAGCATGTCATAGGAGGCAACTAACTAGGGGTGTTTTCTTCAAAGTTGGAGTGCATCTGCCTGAGAGACATGGAACCAGTCTGCTTATGGTAGCAAAAACAGATGTCCACGCAAAACTAAAGTTCTGGAACTAGAAATTCAGGAGTGGACGAACAACCAGAACTTGAAGCCGAATATTACAGCCAATGAATGTGAAGAAATCACATTATTTAAAAAAAAAATGAATATCTTCTTCTTCTTGTGCGTTTGCTGTTAAAAGGGTGTTTGGCAAACTGTGTTGTGGTTTACATCTAGGCTGCAACATTCAGTCTAACACATCTGACTTCAAGAAAACCCTAATTATTCGCCCAAGATGACATGCTTGTTTTTTTTTTTCTAGGGGGCACTTGAACTGTTATTACCTTCTCAGCCCCCCACCCCCAAATGAATTGGGCTCATAACTTCTTCTTTCTTCTTCTTTGCGTTCACCAGCTGTACACTCTGGCGGAAAGTTCTGGTTGCTCGTCCATTACTGAACTGCAGTCTTGCTCCAGAACCTGAGTGTTGCGTGTGCATCAGTTTTACAGATCTCATTCTCTTGAATACAGACTGTTAGTTCCTTGCCTCTCCGGCAGATGCACTCCGACTTCAAAGGAAGATCCCCAATTAGTCAACTCTTACGACATGCTTTTGGGGAGGCAGTGGGTCTATTCTTGTTTTCCCCACAATGGGGCCCCGGAACCCACAGGGGGGGGGGGGGGGGGGGGGGGGGGGGCTCATAATTTACAGGAGGTATACAAAAATAAATTCACAAATGTGGAGTTTTCACATGATGAACCTTGTGGTCCACAAACATTAACTAAATAAACTTGAGTATATGGGATACATGCTACGTGTACAATGAAGATGATTACAGTCAAAAGGATCAAATTCACGGCACCTGGTTTTATCCCACATAGCACAATCTCTCAGCAAAACAGTTATGTCGCCATGCCGAAAGCGTCACACAAAGCACAGACTCTGTAGCTCTAGCAATGATCTGCTCAGTTAAAACTGCACTTGTGAAAAGGAACAACACAGCCTGCTGGATGAACACATGGCCTTCAGTGTGCATGGCGGACCATAGAGACCATCTTAATCTCTCTCTTTAAAAGAGATACTTTGCCAGCTGAGAGTGACGCACACAGTCATCATCACAAATTGCCACTGTTGCTGCTATTGCATTGTGGGAAGGAACAGTCTGCGATCCACTGCTTGATGGGTAGCAAGGGACATTATCATTTCATGTTGATGTAAAAACTCTTTAATGTCACAAATCCATTTTTTCTTAGGGCGACCTCTGGCTTTCACATCAGATCTTAATCATATGTAATGCTGTGTTGGTAGTTGTTCTGAATGCATTCTAACGAGGTGACCACATCGTGTCATATGCTGTTTCTCAGTGAATATGGTATACAGTGTTGTTCCCACAGTCTGTCTAATAGTATAATTTCTCACTATGTCTCCGATGGTTAATTTGGCGGCTTTTCTCAGAGATCTTAGTTTAACAAAGTACCAATCTCAACAGCCCCAGCGTCAGCCCCTACCCCCTTCCCCCAGAGATCTCAGAAATAGCAGCACTACCAAACAATGGACCCACAATCTTCAGACCACAAGTAAATAACTAACCATTCAGCCACTTTGCCCCCAATTTATTTATAACTTCTACTTCCTCATATGTACTGGTTGTAAAATCCGACAGAAAGTTCTAGTTGTTTGACCACTTCTCGATATTGGTCTTGTTTCAGAACTTGGGTTTTACGTGCATGTTCATTTTACCTAAACAAAACATGCTTTCAAAATAAAATACAACTGATGTACGAAAGATGAGTACCTGGAAAAGCTGAATGTAAAACACGTCTTTGCGCCCAGTTTGTGACCCTCTGTAACTAAAGTTTGTTTGTTCGTTTCAACTATATTTCTCCATGTTCCTTAGGTCATCCAAGTCTCCTCCTTTTATCTGCCATCCACTGGTGAGCTGGCTTTGTCAAAGTGTCACGAGGCATTCTGCAAACATGTCCAAGCTAACTCGATCTTCTTCCTTTAATATTTTGTTGGTTGCTCATCAATTACATACGTTGTATAATAATAATAATCTATAAACATAATATCTTGGAAGTGTGTTCACACACACACACAAACACACATCAGAATCAACATCATACAGGCACCCGTACTTCAAACACAAATACACGGTCAACGGTACAAGCATGCTTCCCTGCATGAGATTGATTAATCTCAACAATTCTTTCTCGTGCACATCACAAATGATCACATACATCATTATCTTTCCACACCTCACATCACTGTCTATCCGCACATCATTATGTGCCCACAAGTAACTGTCTATCCAAACCTTCTTGCATCATCATCTACCACAATTCACTTTGTAATATACCACATCTCACACTCTATCCACACATCACTGTCTATCCACACCCCACACATTACTGTCTACCCACACATCACCGTGTAAGCATGGAAGTAAACTTTACAGAGTTACAAAACTCCTGTAAATTCAAATCTGAGACATAGGTGTAAAAATAACTAAATTTACAAAAATCCCCTTCCGCCTTATGCCTGCAAAACACAACCTGTGAGGTGACAACCTTGCCATTTTGTAAAACACGTATAAAATGTTCGCCAGTGCTCTGTCGCTGGTACAGCTCAAAGGTCAATCTGGAAGCATAACCTGGCCAGACAGCATCATCAAGTTCCAAGGCTGTGATCAGCGGAGAAATTGTTGTGTCGTGTCCTGAGTACAAATGGAATTTTTGGACAGTGCCATTAAAGGCAGCACTATTCATACTTTTAGCTATACGGTACAATAATCCGTGAGTGTTGGCTTGAGCGTATTTTTTGTAGTTTTTGTTTCTGTGGAAGCAGATGCTCTGGTAGTCCACAGATTCCCAAATGGATTCAACAATTTTAGCCGTGATGCACTTGCCTTGAGTGTTGCAAGGAGCCTGTGTGTTGTGACAAGCGTAGCTGCTCAAACCGTCCATGAGAGCTGCGGCATATGGTAAATCCTTCGTCTGCAAATTCAAAACAATCTTGATGTAGCTTTGGGCACCTTCGTATTTTTTCATAATCTCAGTGTATCCCGCATCCAACCGGCATTCTTTGACAGCTTTATTCCGGAACATGTCAAGACCTGCGCAGGAACAGGCTGAATGAAATACACTCTCTTCACAGAAATTAATATTACTCGAAGATTTCAAATTTATTTTCTCTAAGTCAAAGTTTGGTAAAAGTCCATACAAAAATGCGATAGCACTTTGGAATGTTCTAGGTACCTCTGTGGTGTGAACAATGACTTCCTTATGCCAGTTTGTCTCATGAAACAATTTGTGTTTTTGAAAATATCGCTCACTGTAGTGCATTCCATAAATAATATGTTGCAAGGCCCCACGTCCTGTTAGCTGGCCATCAGCACATTTAGGATGTGAAGGATACAGTGCCCATCTGAAAAGAATCAGAGATCAAGGAACAGTTATATTCAGATGACTGTCCCACGTGAACAAATAAACAAAAATGCATATGTTCATGATGTTTGTCAAGGATAGTTAATGACAAACATCACAAGTGTGCATGTGTTTTGTCACATGTAAATCAGTGTGTGGGTTCTGGGGCTCTAGTGTGTGTGTGTGTGTGTGTGTGTGTGTGTGTGTGTGTGTGTGTGTGTGTGTTGGGAGGGGAGGGGGGGAATTAAATCTCAACCTTTGTTTTAAAAAAAAACATACACTATGAGTAGAGTAATTAGGGGTTTCCTTCAAAGAGGAAGTGCATCTGCCTGAGAGGCAAGAAACCAACAGTTTGCACACAAAAAAGCCAGATCTGTAAAAATGAATGTGTATGCAAAACTCAAGATCCTAGAACAAGACTCGAGTCCAGAAAAGAACAAACAACCAGAACTTTCTGCTGGAGTCTATAGCCGGTGAATGGAAAGAATAAGAAGTATCAAGAGTCTGGCAGTAGTCTTTTATCAGCAGACATCAAAAGTTTACCAGTGCCCCATTATCGGTAGATATCAGCAGTTTGACAGTCTCTGCCACTTGAAAATATCAAAGGTTTCCCCATGTCCCATCACAGGTAAACATACATTTTCCAGCGCTCTCATGCTTCTTCTTCTTAGCATTACGAGCCCTTGAGGTTCACTGCTGCAGATATCACCCGCCTCCATTCATCTCTTTAGTTGACCTTCTCTTTCCAAAAGGTGACACTAAGTGCTTGCAGGTCTGTCTAGATATTCTCTCCATCATCTTCTTGGTCTGCAACCATTCAGCTCCCTTGTGTATGGAGTTTTATCTCTCTGTCATGTAATAATCTTTCAATATGCCCCAGCCATTTAAGACTATTAGCTCTTATGATGCCAGTAAGCAATGGGGATTTAAACAGACTATGAATTTCATTGCTGCTTCTCACTCTTTAGTCCCCACTGTTCGCATCTTTGATGGGTCAAAATATTCATTGCAAGACTGTTTTTTTTAAAATTTGTAATAAGGCTTCATCTCTTTTAGTTGTGCTCCAAGTTTCACAGCCATATAAAACAATTAGTATTATCAATGCTTTTTATATTTTGATCTTGGTGTTTCGAGTTAGAGATGCATTTTACAAATTAGTTATTTAGAATACAAAACTATTAAATATGTCAGAGACAAAATATACAAATTTGTGGGACATCAGGAGCCTCTCTTGGCAGTGGTGAAACGTTGCAAGCTAGCTTGGTTTGGGCACGTGGTGAGACATGATTCTATTGCAAAGACTGTACTTCAAGAAACATTGGGGGGGGGGGGGGGGGGGGGGGGGGGGCGGCGGCGGCGCAAAAATGACAACATCACGAAATGGACAGGACAAGTTATAATACACTTATTCATCAAGCGGAAGACAGAGAAAGTGGGTTTTATGTGCTAGTGCTTCCATCAATACACCTCCATGACCCTAATAGGTCAAGGGTTATGTTATGTTTGGTTGGTAATCACCCAATATACCTTCGACGTATGGTTTTAACCTATTTAAGCAGTACAGCTGATAGTATCTTATAGCTTGTAGATAACAGTGATATTCCTCTATAATTTTCATATTAATACTTGTCACATTTCCTAAAAATGGATATTAATAATGGCTTTTTCCCCTTACTGGATAATTTTTCCATTTTCCAAACTAGTTTTATTAATTCATACATCTTTAAATGCAATACACAACCACCTACTTAAAGTTCAGGTGACTGCTGTCAAGCTGATACACGGAATTCCAGCGAAATTTGACTAAAAAGCGTAACCAAATGGGGAAGCAGAAAAATGTAAACAAAACAACACAAATAACGTAACGTTTCTGCCGGGCAGCCTTCATGTTTGACAAAGGCTGTCCAGCCGAAACGTTACGCTACAGCTGACCGACCTATGGAATCTGGTGTTTTTCAGAGTGTTCTGCGAGGAGGCTGCCATCTCACTAATAAAGTTTGTGACTTTCGGAAGGTGAGCATGCTGGGATGTGTCTATGAGACAACTGGGCCCACCGACAGCTGTGTTAGGCAGTCGGCTGATGGGAGACCGGTCTCCATGTCGGATCACCACGTGAACGCCTAAGAGTTTGTAATCTTCTGGTACCAGTCCTGCAGAGGGAGGGCATTATTTACATTTTCAATGTGCCAAAAACTGCAAAAGCTGTATCTAAACAATTGTAAAATGCTAATCATTGGTTTATTTCAACAACAAAAATACAATTTAGAAATGCTGTAAGAGTGACGTGTCAAAAAAACTATCTATACGTCTGGACAAAACAAAACTCTATTTAAGGTATATTTAGATACATAAACACTATGATTTGCCTAGACATTTAAACATCTATTTATGATTTGTCCGACCAAATACAAAGTATGATTTGCCTATACATATAAAAAGTCTATTTATGATTTGTCTGGACATAGAAACTTATGTTTATGATTTGTTTGTACATACAAAAATTATATTTATGTTTTGTCTGGATGTACAAAAAGTCTATAATTTGTCTGGACATACAAAACTTATATTTCTGATTTGTTTTGACACACAAAAACTCTATTAATGATTTGTCTTGACCAGTGGTTCTCATCCTTCCTAATGCTGTAAATAGTTTCCTCATTTTGTGGCGACCCACAAACGATTATTTTCCTTCATAACCAATAAATTTTGTGTTTTCCAATGGTCTTAGGCAACCTATGTGAAAGAGTCATTCGACCCTAAAAAAGGGCCGTGACCCCTAAGTTCAGAACCCCTGGTAAAAAAATGTAAAAACTCTACTTATGATCAGTCTAGGAGTCGCCATGTCGGAGCGGCTAAACGCTCGCCTGCGGATTGGAAGGTCTTGGGTTCGCTCTCTGGCGGAGTCGGACTGTTTAAAAAAAAAAGACCTTTCCTTCCAGGTCCACCCAGCCTTAAGTGGGTACCGGTTGCAGTACCGGGAAGTAAAGGTGGCCAGAGTGATGCTGACCACATTACCCTTGCAGATTGGTCTACAAAAAAATACAGGTCTAGCCCATTACGCTCAAAGGTGTGGAAACAGGTCCTTTACTTTTAAAAAAAATGATTAGTCTGTATATACAAAAATTATATTTATGTTTTGTCTGGATGTACAAACATATTCTACAACTGTGTTTGAATACAGAAAGCTCTACATTATTATTAAGCAAAATAAATTGTCTGGATATTAAAGGAAGAATGAGAGAGAAGAAAAAGAAGATGATGCAAAAATAAAAAATAAAAATAACAAAAATTAAAGAAATTGGAAGTCAAAGGAGAAGGAAAAGACATGGAAGAAATGGACATAAACAAGACCTTCATTTCCTAGTTCCTGACTGTAAGGAGCATTACAGTACTTAGCAATTCTTGCCACTGTCAGCGGAGGCCTCGTATCTGTGGATTGGCAAAACAAATTTATGAGAGGACAAAATATTGGTGGTTATATAAGGTTAAATCTGCAAGCTGGACAAATCAAACACTAGGCAGAATCAGATATTGCAGTCCTTTTCTTCTCTTACTTCTTGCCTTTATTTCCTAGTGAAGTATAAGGTTTTCAACCAACATATTCCCTGTGGATTCCTCATGCAGACCTTATGTATTTTTGTACACCAGTTCTCTCGAATGTCCAGCATTCATCTACACATTGGTTAACCCCTGTCTTTTATTTAAGTTCTCCCCCGTGTGGGTTCTGTTGCCCTATTATAGGGAAAACAAGAATAGACCCACTGCCTACCCAAAAGCATGTCATTAGAGTCGACTGATTGGGAGCTTCCTTCGAAGTCAGAATGCATCTGTCTGAGAGGCAAGGAACCAACAGTCTGCACACAGATGTGTCAGATCTGTCAAACGGATGCACACACAACACTCAGGTTCTGGAACAGGGCTGCAGTTCAGAAGTGGACAAACAACCAGAACTTTCCTTCCACCAGAGTTTACAGCTGGTGAACGCAAAGAAGAAGAAGAAGATTTAAGTTCTTTAACCCTGTCACCACAAGAAGACTACATCTAGTTATTACTGGTTGTGATATATTGACGTCTGCAGCGACCTGTTCTTGAAAAGCATAGTTAAATCATATTTGGTCCTATGTGTGCCTTGCAATATTTAATAGGTCAGAATATAAATATTAATATAGTAACTACAAATAGCATTCAGAGTTTCCTTATGACCCCAGTGGGTTCTTTATAGCCAAATTGATGTCAAATGTTCCCACAAGCATCAGTGATTAAGGTCACTGCACGTATCACCTGAAACATTGATTTTTAGATCCAGCGGAATGTATCTGATTTAATGCTCCACTTTTTTGTGATTACCCCTCTATATTAAGGGAAACAAATTAACTGCAGATAAATAAATAATTTTTTGTTTTCATTATCTGTGTAATATGGTTGTGTTTTGTAAGAATTTTTTTCTAGGAATGTCTATGGGTTCATGACCCATTTTATTAGCATTTGCAAGGTAAAAGGAATGACAGACTAGTTTTCCATCTCATCAGGTGTCAGACAGGAATACGTCCTCTCACCATTGCTATTCATTACTTACATGGATGGAATAAACACAGGAGGCAAATACAGACACTGAAGAAAGCAATGAACTTCTTAGCGAGGACTTAGCTAACAGGAAGAATTGTGCCTGAGGCTTCTTTCCTCATAACATTTACCCAGTTAGTGAAGAATATGACACAAGAGGTTTGGACTTTCAGAGACTGAACTAGCTTTCAGGACTTTTCCATTTTACCTGTTAATGGTGTGTCGACAACAGCCACTAGAGGTCTCTGACCCTTGTGTTTGCATTAAATGATTCATTTCATTATATTTGAAAAAGGTCTAGTGTTTTCCTTCTGAGGTTCTTTGAAGTTGAATTTTAAACCATGTTGTATTGTTTTGGTTCAACCAGCACTCAGACATCGTATCTAACATGGATAGTGTTACCATTTAGTCTGGGGGCTTTGCAAAGTGGTGAGGGGGTCTGTGCCCTAAAGGATCAGTGGTGCCTTAAGCTTGAGACACTTCATCTGTGGAGCGGTGCTGGATGGTTTTGGAACTGCCGAGTATCTGCCTAGATCAACTGAGCCACTATCTCAACAAAACTGCCATTCTAGAGTGTCATTCCCAACTTCAGAATACAGGAGGGAGATTTAACATGATACGAGACACCACTCACTGTCTTATGACAGGCAAATTATTCTGTTGGCCTTGTCTGGGATATTTATAGTCTATGTTTATCTGGTATTCTCGGCCAGTATAAAGTTTATAGCTGTCAGAGGTGTGTGTTACAGTAGTTGTGGTTTCTATTCCTTGGGGTGACAGTTTTATGACCACTGAGGCTCAGTTCTTGATCAAGAGAAATTGTCTTTCGTGACTGATTTGATTCTGAGGTTTGGTTTTCTTGGTTCCAGTTCTGGAAAGTTTCTTGTAGAATATTTCTCCAGGAAATCCAAGGAAATAAATGTCATTTATTTGGAGTATGACTGAATTCAATACAAACATAAATTCAAACTGAGTAGAAATATTAGGTTTTAGCACAATTTATTTGACTGTGAGTTCAGGGTATAATTTTGTTGGTTAAAGTTGGTGTTATAATTTAAACTGTGGCTTTCGTTGCGGTTTAGTGTTAGCTTTGTTTAGAATATTTTGTGGACTCACATAACCAAATAATTATGGCTCCAGCAAAAATTTATATTCAAGACTTAAGAGACATAGCTACTCAAATGGGGAAAGGGAGTGACTGATTGGATAAAAACTATGGAATAGAAAATAAGGATAGAGGCTAAAGAGCCTGAATGACTCAGAGAAAAAAATCTGAATGACTCAGGATGGAATTTGAATGCCTCAGACCAGAAAAGGAGCAAGACAGAGCGTCTCAGAGTGGTGTCTGAGAGAACAGAGACTGAGAGAATGGAAATGGATAAGGAGCTTCGACAGAGGGAACTGGAGTTACTTGCACAGAGAGGAGGCAGACCCAGATCTGCAACTCCAGAGATAGAAGCTACTTCTTCACCAAGTAACATCTCAACCTAGGCAATGAATTTTCTGATGCCAGTGTCTGATCAGAAGGTAGAGATGCTAAAACAATATATCAATGGTTTTACCAACCTAGCTGCTATCTATGATCTCAAGAAGGAAATGTATGCTCTGAAGTTGGCCCAAGGTCTGAGGCTTATGAAATTTATCAACACATTCGTACAATCTCCGAAACAAACTTTGAACTCTACGTCAAGCACTGCTGAAAAGGTCTGAGCTGAATGCCAATGTGTAAGAAAAAGTTTAGGCATGAACATAAAACATTTTGGAGAAACACATCCTTAATTTCCCAGTCACCTTAAAGGATATCTAAATCGGTGGCAGGAGATGTGCGGGTATGCAAGCTACATGAGGATCTGCGAGAGATGTTCCTCACAGAACAGCTCCGAGACTAAATTGATGCAGATCTGTCTTACTCAGAATGCCGCAGAGAGATTAGAAGACATCTTAATACATGCTGAGAGGTATGAGCTGGTCCATAAAAATGCTCTACAGTGAAACCCAAGGGGAACACCCAGGGTGAGAATTGCCATTTAAGAGTGTCGTTTCAGAACTTTCAAATATAGGAGGAAAATTTAACATGAGATGTGACCCCACTGTCTTATGACAAATGTGCTTACCTTTTTGAAACAACAAATGTCCCTTGTTTATTTCTTCTGAGTCCTTTACGGAAGCATTGTCTCCTACTCTCATCCTCGCCTCATCATCCTTCATCCAATGAAACATTTTTGTATCATCCTCGGCCGGCTTCAGCTTGTTGATAGGAACGAGCAGCTTCTTGTGAGTGGACTGCTTCCCATTATGGTGTAAGTCATCACTGAACATTACTGAATACAAACCGGGGGAAAAGACATTACAGTGCAATCATTTATTATCACTTGCAGGATACTAACACTCATTCAAGAAAGCACTCTATCTTGCACCCTGATGGTTGAAGGCAGATTTGAGTTAAGAATCGACACTACAACACTCAGAATGTTCCTATATGCGCACTATCCCCACCTTCAGCAGCTCGCGAAAAGTTCTAGTACAAAAAAATCAAAAAAACATGGGTTCGCGTCCTGGCGGAGCTGGACTTCCCCCCCCCCCCCCCCCCCCCCCCCCCCCCCCCACCCCCCCCAACCCCCCCCCCCCCCCCCCCCCCTTAAAAAATGGCCTTGACTTCCAGCCTTGAGTGGGTACCAAGTGCAGTCCTGGAAAGTAAAGGCAGCCGGCGTGATGCTGACCACATCACTCATTGGTCTATAAAAATATAGGTCTAGCCCTATATTCCCAATATGCCTAAAGACGTGGAAAAGGGACCTTTACTTTACTTTTATATATTTAGTTAGTGCAGGGCTCAGTAGAGAAAAAACGAAAAGAGGCAGACCAAGAAAGACCTGGTAACAGAACCTGACTGACTGGACAGTCCTCAGGCATGCAACCATGAAGTCCATCGCAACTGACCACCAAAGGTGGAGAGAGCTGATCAGACAGTCAACATAAACTGGTGCCCCGATGACACACAGTGTTACGTGATGATGATATTTAGTTGGCGTCACCACCCTAATTGCAATGATATACAGTTGCTAAATAATTTATTAAAAAACAAAAAACTTTGTGACATAAAATGCAAAAATGTAGTCATCTCAATCCTACATTTTACATGATTTGCTATCAGACTAAATTACTGTGTCGCAAAATTATGTTTACCTAAAAAGTATGACACCAAAATGAACAACATGAAAAGCTCTGGCTTATGTATTCAATTGTAAAATAAAAATATTTTAATGAAAAGTACATATTTTTTGTTTTACTACCCAAGATCTGGTCAGAAGATCATCACAAGCAACTAATATTTATCTCAATGATGGACAAATAAAAATCAAATAGTGACTTACACAACAAGAATGTAACCAACAGGGAAACAAATCCAGCGACGATCAAGAATTTTATGTTCAGAATATGCCTCAGGTGGAAGGAATACATCTTGTTTCTGAAAAAAAAAAAAAAAAACCTGTTAACTATCACAACTGTTGGCATTTACAATTTTTAGGTATGTGGGGAAAAGAGAGGGGGGGGGGGTATATTCTGAGCCTGAGGATTTAAGGCAGCATGGCTAGTGCTGTCGCCATGAACTGTGCAGGTAAGGTTATTTATTTTTGTCCCCAACAGGAGAACTCCATCCCCTTACCGAGGTTCAAACTCTGGTCTCCGCATGAGAGCTTGACATAACCGCTCACCCAGCCGATCCTGTACGATAAGACATTTTAGTTTATTCTAAGTCCAGTACGAGGTTTAATTACTTAAATAAACTTTAAATATGTAACATGCTGGCTGCACAATGAAGGTTAATTTCTTCTTTTGGCCTACTGTGCCACAGACAGCATTACAGTTTCCTGTATTTTGCCAGTGGTTTAGCGTGTTTTTCATGTCATACTGCATTTCCATATTGTCTGTTTCACTCCCAGTACCAAACCCTTTCTTGTTTGACCTCTTGAGTTGTAGCCAGCCGTTCTCATGTAGTACGCCACGGCTATTCAACTAAGTTTACTAACCAGCCACAATATTGAAAATGAGGACCCTCATGGGCCAGAGACTCGATTCCCAGCATAGAAAGATTATGCATACAACTGGTAATGATCCACGGGCCACTTACTAGGCTTCCGAGGGCCAGATCTGGCCCGCAGGCTGCCAGTTGCTCTAGTTGCTAGCTGGCTTTTTTCCAATTTGACCAAATGACCAAACCATGTGAATCTTTGATGTACCATGAAATCGTTTACCGGTATGGTGCCTACCACTGTTCTTAGTTCTTTACTGGTGACTGTCTCTTCTTGTTTTTTGCCGTGACACAATTCTAATACATTTTGTCTCATATGTTGTAATTGTGCAATTAAGTTTTCTAGGACTGCCATGTCTAGCACTGACAACATGAAGATGGTACAAATAGTGTATTCATTAGCTGCAGGTCTGCTACAACACACTTATCACTGTATTTGGAAATATTAGGTAGTGTGGTCCCAATCTCTTCCATGCTGCAACTCATGAGATCAGTTCTCAAGAAATTTAAAAACAAAAAAGCTCTTTAAAACTACAGATAGAGAAGTCTGGTGATCTCTTGGCAAACCTCTACACCCCGAGCTAGAAGAGGATCGAGTAAGTAAGTAAAATAAAAAAATTCTTTAATGGGAATCAAATTCTAGAACTCCAAGATTATGAAACTGCCTTCGGCAAAGAGTTGTAATGCAGTGGATACCATCACATTGTGGAGTGCCTGGAAATGAGAAAGCTGATCAACTGGCAGGAGAAGGTGGGACAAAAGTGCAGCCGGATGTACCAGTCACATACCACCAAAAGAAAAGAATCATTAAATCAATCAGGATACCACAAGCCCCAGCACAAGTCGACTATTTTATTATGGACAGATCAGAACAAGTCATTATCCTACGCCTCAGAACAGGGCACAACCGATTACGTAACCACATGTACACAAAATTCAAGATAGGCGTATCAGCCATGTGCACCTGTGGAAAGGTGATCCAGACAGCAGAGCATGTACCCCAGGACTGCACCGAATTTGACACATTACGGCAAACCTTTTGGCCAGAAAGAACCACAGTGGAACGTAAACTCTATGGAACACTGAATGAATTAACAACAGTGAAATTTATACAAGAGACAAAATTGCTGATACAGACAACTTATTTCAGGCGAACGAAAGAAGAAGAAAAATGAAACTGTTAAACACATTCACTAAACCCAAACAATACAAACATTGTGCGGCATCTCTACTATAAAGGTAGTATTATTTTAGTATCAATCAGCAAAAAGTCTCCCTCTAGCCAATTCTCCAGCCCTATGTGGTTTCACAGCCAATGTATCTTCAATGATTTGTATCCACCTTCGCAGAGGTCGGCCTCTGCATCATTTTCTGAAAACTGTACTTCCCCATTACCCTTCTCTCCAGGTCACCATGACATTTAAACTTGCCAAAATACCTTATCTTTCGGGACAGGATGCTGTTTATGAGCCAGTTCTCCTCGATACTCAGGTAATGTAGGATGTCAGCGTTTTTCTTTTTCGTGGTCCAGGGTATTCAAAGAATTGTTCTATAGCATTTCAGTTCAAAAGCTCAAATTTTTTTCTCCAGTGCTTGAGTAAGAGTCTATGACTCACATCCCTGGGAAAGATGCATGATCTCAAAATGTTAGCTGTAACTTGCTTGCAGGTACTGTGCTGCAGATTAATTATTTTAGACTTCTGAAAATGTCCTAGTGCTAAGACAGCTCCTCCTGTCTATTGTATTATTACAATTATGTCCCTATATGCTACAGAGAGGCAGAGGGAGACCAAAAGAAAAGATGCTGGACAGTTTGACATCATGGCATGAAGGATCATTTGTGTTGGAGATGATTTAAAGTACACGAGACAGAAGATTGTGGATAGACATGACTACCAATGCTACATGACCTTTAAGAATAGTGTCTCAAGAGAGACTTGGATACAGAATTTGGCTGATTTGGTGGGATTAAAATATACAAGCAATAAGACTAGTACATCTGACCAATAGAGGTGGATGGACCTGATGAGAGAGTCAACAGCGACTGGTGTTTAAATAGCACATAATATTTTGTGACTATAATGACGGTGGTCTCTATGTTTGTTGGAACAACACTACACACCAAATTCATTTAGAACTTTCCTCTTCTTTGTTTTTCTTTCTAGTCATGTTCTGTCTTTCAGCGTCAGGTTTTAAACAGACATCAGGTACAAGCCTTGGTATATGCAATGTAGATAGGGGTATTTATGGACTTCGATATTCCATCTATCCATCGCTTGTGTGCTCAATCTGTCTATAGCTCTGCTTCCATTCCTATTTCTTTTTTTACTGTTTCTTCAAGCAGGATATAATCCACTGCCATACAGCTGGACCTGTCACCGTTTAAGGGAGTTTTTGAAAGATGGATCCCATCCCACTGGGTGAGCCAGAACCCATTTAGCCTATCTCACTATCTGTTTTCTGGTGTGCAACGCTTGGAGGTGGGTTTGGCTTAGATGTCCTAAAGGCAATTAAGACTACTAGTTTTCATTTTTCACCCTTCCAAGGAAGAGCCAGCCAATCCAGGCACTGGTAGCTTGCAGAGCCCGGCACATGGACATTTCCCATGCACACCCTTTTAGACCAAAAGATCAAATGTTTTGGTTATCTTGTCAGAATGCAGCCACAACTACCAACACAAGTGCTACACATAAAAAAAAGATGTGATGTGAAAGCAAGAGGATGCCCCTGGAGAAGAGGGACTGATGCCATTCAAAATATTCTACATCCACACAGAATGACAACAGCCATGACAAGAGCAGGCGCAAAGAGAAAATGGACTGATGACATTAATGAATACACCCACATTGAATGAAAACATCCATGACAAGAGGAGATCTGACAAGAAACAAGACCGATGACCTTAAAGACATTATACATCCACATGGAGTGACAACAGTCATGACAAAAGGAGACCGAATAAGAATATGGACTGATGACATTAATGACATTCTACATCCACATGGAATGACAATAGCGTTGACAAGAGGCCCAACAAGAAACTAGACTGATGACATTAAAGACATTACACATCCAAAGGGAATGACAACAACCAGTGCTATTTAGTAAGCACTGGATTGCAAACTATTCCTCTCCCTGACGCTTAATAGCAAAAATGGAACTGATCGTTGTCTGTTAAGGGGAGCAGCAACTGGCCAAGTGGCCCTCATAAGGGAGATCTGTGCTTGATTCTCTCAAAGGAATGGAATTTTTTTCTATCAGGCAAAAATTCTAACCTTTGAAGTGTGAGGTGACTGCACTAGCCATGCAGCTTTGAATCCTCAAGCTCAAGATATACATGTCCTACACCAGCCTAAGATTGGTAAAAACAGGTAGTAGTGATGGTTGTCTCTCATGATAGGCATGTGATCCCACTAGAGGCTTTTTCTTCAGGTTACACATTTTTTTCTCAGTCAGTAGAGATGGTTGTCTCTCATGATTGGCATATGATCCCACTAGGGGCTTTTCTTCTTTTGGTGGTACATATTGTGTTCTATCAGTGCTATGGTAAAAGACATTGTATGATGAGTACCACCACCTTTTATTAGACACTTTATGGTCAGTCCTGACACCCTTTTCCTAGAAAAATGCCCTGGCCATACCGTGGATGCAGTTGAATTCAATTTAATCAAGTATTAGAAATGTAATAGCTATAGTGTTGACAGACTCACCTAGGAGATGGCTGCTTATCACTCAAGTTGTCTCAGGAAAGATGTTGAAAGTGAGGCTGTTTATAAAGGCTTCATTTTGGAAAATCTGTTAAAAGAAGAGTTTACTTTTACTCTTTCGACAAAAAATTTACAATTTGCTTTATTTATTTTCTTCTTTGGCATTCGCTTTTAAAAAGAAAAGTTGGCACACTGCAGTGTGGTTTACAGTTAAGCTGCGATATCTGAGGCTGTTTACAAAGGCTTTGCAAAGAATAAAAGAAGTACGAATCCAGACCAAGACTCTTCTAGCAGACTTTAGCACAAAAACAAAAGAGGCCTGCATGTCAGAAAGGTTTACCATGCAAGAGCTGGAAGTTGGAATTGGAGAGTTGAAAATGAAGAAAGCCCCAGGGGCTGACGGCATTACAAACGAATTTCTCTCTCATCTTGGACCTGCTGCCAAGAAGTTTCTCCTCTGCATCTACAACCAGAGCTGGCAAAAAGGGGTAGTACCGTCAGCCTGGAAGGAAGCTCTCATCCAGCCTATCCTTAAAAAGGGTGGAGACAGAAGAGATCCAAAAAGCTACAGACCTATTAGCCTTCTTAGTTGTGTAGGAAAATTGATGGAGAAATTAGTAAATAAAAGACTAATATGGTTCCTGGAGACAAACTCAGTAATCACCACCACCCAGACAGGATACAGACAGCACAGAAATACAGAGGACCAGTTGACATATCTG